CATAACTTGAGAATGAAAGGCATTAACATCACAGTGAAAGAGATTGCTTTGTAATTGTCAACGACTTAAAAGTTTCAATGCTATCAAAAGAGACGCAGAAAAGCTTCGGAATAATTTTTCAATGAACTTTGAGCACAAAAGGACTTACAATCAGTGACTTGAGTAACATCCTTTAGGGCACTTGTGCTTGGAACCCAAAACTCGGTACTAGGATGTAGTGTTACGTATGACTTAGGATAAATAAATTTGTAAATTATTTTGAACACAATAAAGGAAAAAAAACCTAGACCTAAGCAAACAGCTATTTACATAACTTGAGAATGAAAGGCATTAACATCACAGTGAAAGAGATTGCTTTGTAATTGTCAACGACTTAAAAGTTTCAATGCTATCAAAAGAGACGCAGAAAAGCTTCGGAATAATTTTTCAATGAACTTTGAGCACAAAAGGACTTACAATCAGTGACTTGAGTAACATCCTTTAGGGCACTTGTGCTTGGAACCCAAAACTCGGTACTAGGATGTAGTGTTACGTATGACTTAGGATAAATAAATTTGTAAATTATTTTGAACACAATAAAGGAAAAAAAACCTAGACCTAAGCAAACAGCTATTTACATAACTTGAGAATGAAAGGCATTAACATCACAGTGAAAGAGATTGCTTTGTAATTGTCAACGACTTAAAAGTTTCATTGCTATTAAAAGAGACGCAGAAAAGCTTCGGAATAATTTTTCAATGAACTTTGAGCACAAAAGGACTTACAATCAGTGACTTGAGTAACATCCTTTAGGGCACTTGTGCTTGGAACCCAAAACTTGGTACTAGGATGTAGTGTTACGTATGACTTAGGATAAATAAATTTGTAAATTATTTTGAACACAATGAAGGAAAAAAAACCTAGACCTAAGCAAACAGCTATTTACATGACTTGAGAATGGAAGGCATTAACATCACAGTCTTTGTACAAACTTTGTCAAAACTTTGTACGAGTTAGTCTTACGTATGGACTTAGGATAAATAAATTCATAAATTATCCTGAGCACAATAAAGACAAAAAACCAGACCTAAGAAAATACTTCTTTACATTGATTAAATCTGGTGTGTCGTCTAGAGGGAGGCCGTGAGGACCAAAATACGATATGAGATTGCGAAGGGGCGTTGCAATGCTCTTTGCCTTTAATTGTTCTCACCACCTTAAGTCTGGTTGCAACCATGCAAAAATGATTCATTGGATTATTTAATACATAAAAATGAGTCACTAATTTGTTTGACACCCAAAAATTAAATAAAGACTAGTCATGAGGATCAGTAATCAAGGAACCTTGAGAGCAAAAGAGATTAAGTATACTTGAATATTCAAGTGTCATTCTTCAAGGAACTTGCACTTCGGCTTTGTCTCCAAGGGATGCTTGATGGGATTTTTCTGAGGGAAAATTTCACTTGCGAAGGTGGGGAAAAACATTGAGTCTGTCAATACTAATTACAGTACCAAGTACAGTTCTTATGGACTCTTGAGAGCGACTCAGGGAGAAGAAGAAATTTTGATGATTAGTATAACGAGGAAAAAGCACAGAAGTTTCATTTCTGGGATGCGAACTTGGATCAGATCCAAGGAAACATCCCGTGAAGACAAGGCCTTAGAATAATAGACTTAATACTGAAGGAATGTTGCAGCTAGGAAATTTGCACAAGTAAACTGGTAACTTATTTTAAACACAAACAATGAACAAAATAAACAGACAGAGATCAAATTTACATTTGATTATTATGAGTCTTGAGTTTGAAATCTGTACTCATGGAACTTTTGGGTCATACATATTTTTGTTGTGTCTGTCTATCATCGAAATTGGAACAGGTACATTATAACAAGCTGCCTGGTTTATTTTGATATAGGCTTTGGCTTGAATTATGGCATCTGTTGTGTCGGTATCGAGCTGATTTCTTAATTTGGTAACATTTAGATTAACTGCACTGAATATACGCTCCACTGCTGCGCTAGAGTGAGGCAAGGTGAGAATGTAGCGTACAAGTTTATTAATTAAGGGGAATGCTTCAGAGTTATCGCCTTTTTTTAGCAGAGCAACTTTTTGCCAGAATGCCAACAATGGCATCTCATGAAATTTCTCCTCATTGAAGACTTCAAGTCGCTTTAGCTTCAAAAATTCTAAGTCTATTTTGGTGAAATCGATGTTCAGGTGGTTCGTAAAAGTAAATGAGGCTGCAGAGGAAATTGAGTTTATGCCTTGGATGTTTTGTGGTTTCAAGAAGCTAAAGGACTTGGAGACCTTCATTTCATTGGAGTTAAACGGGAAAACCCTTTGGATCTCAGAGCAGAGCTTGACATAAAAATTTAGACATTTTGTTCTAAATCCCTGTAGGAGGTCTGAGGGAAGATTTTTGTACTGATTGCTTAAGGCGGCATTGGCTTCTCCGCCTACAAAAATGTCTTTCAGTGGTTTAAAGTATTGAGGGTCTTTGTATTTATAAGTTTCAACGTCATTTTTTGCCAGATGTTCTGGCTTCATGTAAAAAGATAAAATTAATTCGTATAAAGTGGTAACAGAGGAGTAAATTTTGTGAACTTTTGGCCTTTCGGATTGAAATTCTAAGTTTAAGTCAGTTAACAGAGGCAAAGTAGATTTGAGAAACATGAGATAAAGTTTGTTGACGGCGTTAAATTTTTGCAGAATAGGTTTGGCTGCTTCTGACTTCTCTTCAAGAACTTCAGACTGAAAAAACAACCTTAAAGCAGACCACTGCTCGAGGAATCGATCTACACACCTTTCAAGGGACAGCCATCTGACATCAAAAAATTTTAAAATCTTGTGCGGTTTCACCCCCACAAAGTCTTGGAATTCTTTGACTTTAATTAGCCGCTTACAGCTGTGCTGCAGGTAGCCATATGCTTCCCTTAAAAGAGCCTCTACTTCCTTGGGCAGCTCTTCACAGGCATTGCTAGCGACAATTGCTAAGGAATGACAAGTACATTTGAGTGAAAATAAATGAGGAATTTCATCTTTGAACAACTTATGTAGACCTTTGTGAACTCCTGTCATCACATTTGGCCCATCGGACCCCAGACCAACCATGTTTTTGCGGTAAGGAATATCATTTTCTTTGAAATAATCAGTTATGGTTTTGTGGAGACCTGCAGCTGTAGCATCTGGACAAGGGAGGAGAGCAAGGAACTGGTCAATCACCCGCAAGTCTTTCGTAACATATCGAGTAACAAGCCCGAGGTTCTTCTTGTCGGTGCGATCAGTACTCTCGTCAAGGATGAGTGCAAAGTCATCTGCTTTGAGTTGTTCGATCAGAGATTCGACAGTGTCTGTGGCAATGACATTTTTCAATATTTGGGTGCACTTCGTTCTGTTACAGGTCATTTCATTAGCGACTGGAGCTACTGCCTTTATCAGTGAAACCAAATGGTCAGCAGAATTAAATGAAATATTATGCTCGCCCATAAACAAACACATTCGGATCTCAGCCTCTTTTATCTTACGTTCTTTGGAAGAGGTGTCAATCTTTTTCTTTGTTGGAAAAACGTCAGCTACATTCTTGATCGACTCCAAATTGCTGCAATGTTTGGCACTTTTATCATGCTTGTCAACAACAGAGGTCCCTCCTTGACATGAGTAATGCTGATTGCAGGGTAGACAATAAAAATGCCTTTGACCTTTGCTACTTTTCCTTATCCAGTCCTTAAATCTGTCATCTGCCTCCCAGGCACTTCGATATTTGTGTCGAATACCTTTGCGTTTCTTTGTTCTAGATTGTTTCTTTGTTTTGCGTTTCTTTCTCTTGGATCTATTCCGAATTGTTGAGTTGGAATCATTAGAATCGACTGAGCTGTCACCCTCTGAACTTTCTTCTTCACTGCTACTTTCTGCAACAAGTTCCTCTTCGCTTTCATTCGGCAGGGGTGTCTCTTCTGATGGTGACAGAGTATCAAATTCTTCTGGATTAACACCTTCGTTCGAAATAGGAGGGGAAGATATTCTTTCCTTATCGGTCTCGCTCATCTCAGGTTGGTTTTCTGGAGAATTATCTTTTAGAGGCTCATGGGACGCAGGTTTGTCCACCTTTTTTCCATCCAATTTTGGAATTTTACTTGGGTGACTTCTTACTGTCAAAGGAGGTGTATCAGGTGTGTCTTCGTCAAGATTGATAGCTTTGATGATGTCATCTTGAGAATCATCAAAGGGATTTTTCCTCTTACTTTCAGTTCCTTTTTGGGAGTTAGCTGAATTCACTGGAGAAGAACAAGAGAGTTTGGAAGAGGAAGGAGAAGATGTTGAGAAAGTAAAGGACTTCATAGTGGTCTGTATTTTAGGCTTCGACGTCGTCTTGGTGAATTTTTTTGCTGCTGATGTGATTCCAAGTTTCTTTGTACTGGAGCTCCCTGGAAGTGGAGCAGGAATCTTTGTACTGGAGCTCCCTGGACGTGGAGAAGGAATCTTTGTACTGGAGCTCCCTGGACGTGGAGCAGGAATCTTTGTACTGGAGCTCCCTGGACGTGGAGAAGGAATCTTTGTACTGGAGCTCCCTGGACGTGGAGAAGGAATCTTTGTACTGGAGCTCCCTGGACGTGGAGAAGGAATCTTTGTACTGGAGCTCCCTGGACGTGGAGCAGGAATCTTTGTACTGGAGCTCTCTGGAAGTGGAGCAGGCATCTGGAAACAAACGTAAGGCTACGTTTGAAAATTTTCCTTATAAATAACAGTACTAATTTGTTGCTCCACTCTCTTTTTCTGTTTTTAAAGACAATCTAAAAGCTACCAAACTCACTTTTTCCACTAGTCAACATTCTTTAAAAAGGTCCCCCCATAAAACCTTCAGCTTTTTCTTTCACTTCGAAGGAAATGCTTGGTTTTTTCTTTCTCCTTGTTGCACACATTATTGTAAACAGAATTCTCCCCCCTACTTAAGTTAATGACACAAGTGACCCTCAAGTTCTATGTTTTCAGATGGCTTTCAGAATTAAATAAAACGTCTTGACTCAAGAATCTTGAGTGATGCAATCATAATGGAAAATGACATTGCTACTGATTTTTCATTCACCATGATGACTGAGCATTAAAATTTACCGATACTACTGCTCTCTAGTTTAAGCACAGTATTTACCTAGAATGTTAGGCTTATTGGAACACTGCATTGGCATGGATTAATTTTGTTTTTTTAAAAAAAAAAAATATGTTAGGTAACACCAATTAGCAATAAAATATCGATTGTCTTGGTGATTTTATGAATACTTACTATTTCTGGGTCATCGCAATCCTTTGTCTCCTTCGTGGTTATTTTTGGATGAACGTTTCCGAGATCCTCCATCTTGTCTTTAGTTTTTGAGGTTTTGTTGGAATCATACTTTCTTTCCTTAACTTCTGTCAACAAAGAATGGAGATATTTTCAAATGGAAGAGAAAGAGAAAAATAATAATAGGGCGCTTTATCTGCATACATACATACATGAAAAGGCTTTCAAATCAGAAGAAGATTACAGACACCTCCCAATGTCCATAAAGGTACTCTACCTCCCACCTGGTAGAAATCATTGACATTGGCCCACAGAGTACATTCAAGTCTCTATGCACTGAAATGCTGCTGAAGTCAATCCTCATACAGTACATTTTAAACCTCCTGTTCCCTATAACTGTGAAACAGTTATGAACTCTTGTTGTTTCTATCTCACACAATACACACATGAAACTTTCATTTGTATTGAAAGTTTTTACATGAAGTTTTGATGAGATTACATTTACTTAGAGGCTCCAGTTTGTACCTTGTCTACAGGCTCATTTGACTTTTGAGACAGGTTCGTATGTTAAAATTGAAGAATACACAGATCTGACCAATTTCTTTTGCACTTGGTGATTTGTCCCTTTACCTTGCATGATATATTAACAAAAAAACCCATTCAACAGGGCTTGACATATAAATTCAAACTTGCCATGCTCAAACAAAATATGCAAGATTACCAGTGACGAGTTATCAATGAAGCAAAGTGAATTCATCCTTTCCACTGAACTTCATTTGTAGTTGGCTTTTTCACCACCCAGTCAACTTGCCCTAACACATCAAATCACTTTTAAACTATGACAATAAAGGTAAAAGCGAAGTGAAACGCGTACCTATGCTGGTTTCTGGTGGTTCATGAACATCTGCTTGAACAGTTATGATCGTAGGTTCTGAATCGTCCCCTCCTTCTTGCTCGGCTTCAGTTTCTCTGGGTCTTGATTCATCTCCTGAAAAAGGGGGGAAAAAAGTTTTGAGACACATACAAAACCCATTTGTGAAACATTTTCATCTTTTAAATTGAATGAAAGATTTGGTTGAGGACTGTATGAATCTTCTCAGAGGACATTTTAAAATTTCAGATTTTCCTGCATTTCAATCACTAATGTCTCCAACTCAAAATTTTTCCTAGGTGCGTTCCGCAAAATTTCCTAGCGCTCATGGATATAAGTACTCAATGGAGCCATTGACAAGTGTTAAATTATAATTATTTACTCAACTACAGTGTTCAGAGGTCAGGCACTGTCAGCATTTTTTCTTTCTGACAACAACTGTTACCAGGAGCAAGACTAGCGCTAAATGCTTTAGTTTTCCTCTTCAACCAATCAGCATACACCTCACTGTGCCATAAACACTCATCGTCAGAGATAAAATTGGTACATTATACAAATACATCACAAAACACTGCTAAGATAAGGGAAAGGTGGCTTCAGACAATTTTGAAACCCATGATTGTGCAGAGAGGATCATACACTGTCTCTTATGTGTACGGTACGTGCTGTTCTTCCCATGATGCTCAACAGTTGCTGATACATCTCTGATCGGCAAAATATCCAACGACTGTAACTATCTTAATTTTCTAAATAATTTTCCTTGCAAGCGCAGAGAAAATTCGCTAAAAATTTCCAATTATTTGGTGCCACCATACTTCCATAAAGTTGAAGTGTTGGAGGACATTTAGAAACATGACAGCCGAGATGCGTAATTTTCCGAGTTAGCCTTGCCAAGGCTTTGACTTAATACAGCAAAGTGAACCCTCCTGCATAAGTTTCCAGTTAGAGTTAGAGTACACACAGCAAAAGAATTCACTTACCTTCCTCTGCGAAGAAAACCAGGTGAGTAAAGGCCTCTTCCTCTTCATCCATGGCAAGACATGGACATCGAACTTATAACGAATTTAACAAGAAATAAACTCTGGACAGGTAACTTTTAAAAAACTAATAAAAAACTTAGTAACGTTTCGACCGGTTAAATAGACGCCATTTTCTTTGAGCTTCATTTGCTTGCATGCTTGCCTCTTTGTTTGTTTTCCCATTTTCTCTCCTTTTTTCCCTTTTTCCCTCTATCCACTCCATGCTGCCACCAAAAAAACGTAAAAATACCGCCTATTTTCATGAAAGTACGTTATCCCAAGAAAAATCAGCACATATTTATCAAAAATCAGCACAAAATTGGCAAAAATCAGCACAATTTCAGCACACATGCAAAATCAGCACACATTTCACACCAATTTGCAAAAATCAGCACTTTTTCCAAAATGTTACGACAAGTCGTAACATCTGGGAACCCTGCACGACCCACACACGGCAGAGGCATGCAGAGGTACCCCGCCGGCACGCCGGGTCAAAAGTGTGGCCACCGCCGGACGGAGATAATGGGCGCCATTTTGAGATGGGCCAAGCGGCGCGCGTTTAAATGGGAGCACAAAATACGGACTTTTGGACTCGTATTTCGTGGGTTAATATTGCTCAAAAAAATCGGGGAAAATTCCTGTGAACTCTGTGCACTCTCCAGTTTCCAAAAATGCAAGAATTACGAATTGCTGAACAAGCTCATTGTCTCTAGATAAGCCAATTCTTTTCAGATTTTGAAAATATGGCCCAGGTTTTTTTATATTACGTGGTAAAGTTGCGAATTCTCCCATATAATCAATGTAAATTTATGTGTTTTGTCATAGTTCGTTTGAGCATTCTACTGGGCCGATTTCCATGATTTTTGCGTAAATCGACAGGTAATAGGCTCTAGATGAGCCCGCTCTAATCAGATTTTGGAAAAAGGACCCAGGTTTTTTTAAAACCACGTTATTAAAGTGAGTGAATTTACAGAGTGCTCCGGGACTGCTACCGCTATGCGCGAAAGGATGCGCAGTGGTCGAGGAGGTTGCGCAGTAGGTGTGTAGCCTGCGCATCAGCTCTACACTTATCTACACAAGATTTCCGCCGATTTCCTCAAGACGAGCGGAGGTCGAGTCGTCTACGACGTCGGAAGTGTTCACACTGATCAAGGTGTGGGTTCGATCCCCGCCTCCAGAGATACTTAATATTTATCCGATTTAAACAGATCGTTGTTTTACTGTAATATTTCATCAAGCAGTTATTCCAAAACGCGTCCTTTTGACTTCAAAAATTTTTTTTTTCTTTATTCATCAAAACCAAAAATTATTTCATTCTATTAAGTATACCTCATATCGAATTTTTTTAGGGGAAAAATAAAACTAATACTAATAGGAGGGTAAAAATAGGGCCGCGAAGCGGCCCATTGATGGCGCGGAACGCCTTCGGGGGGTTGGGCCGCGTAGCGGCCAGGGGGCGTAGCCCCCTAGTTTTGAGATATTTTTCATTATTTTGAAACTTTAAAAAAATTTGTAATTATATTTTAATTGTATCTGTAGATCGCTGAAAGAAGTCAAGACAAAGCCAATGATGTAAATTTTATATTTTTAATGTAATCTTGTCCGCTTATAATGGTGAACGAAACCCGAGCACGTAGTTTTTTTTCAAATTTGTAAATTGGTGGCTTCCCGACCAGACCCATTGTTCGGGGGGATGTTCTAATCCAGCAGACTTAATAGCAGGTACGTTTACGTCGGGTGAGTCCGAAAAATCTTTTACCTCTGTCAATGGATGGAAGGAGAGAAGAGAAGAACAGATGGATCGTTTAAATTTCTATAATGCGTGAAATTCCGGAGTAATCCCTTTTGGCTATGAACGCGGTATAGGCTCTCGCGATCTCCTTAAGAAAGGGTTTCTGCAAACGCAAGAGTCATGCTTGGTGCATCCTGTATAAATGAAGGAAAAAGTAAATGCTCCCGCTCTCCTCACAATATGTAGGTAGGAAAGAAGAAATCAGTTTCGTGCGGCTCGTGTATAGAAAGCTTCAAGTGAGTCGTGCTTGTTGCGGAACTCATAATTGAAGGGGAAAATTCACTTAGATATTCTTGACCGACTTTGTGATTTCAAGTTCATTCGAGAGATTCACGTACACACTTCCCAAGTAGCACAGATTGCAATTAGTAGCAATTACACAGTAAACATATTGCAATTCAACTGAGTGTTGTGTATATTGCCTAGCTCCTATTTGAAGGGGCCCCATTTATTGAAACTTTGCAATAAAATTGAAAGAAGTTGCAATTTTTCATTGCATTGCATATTGCCTATCTTCCTGACACATGGAGCTCATTTTGTTCATTGCTTAAAATCAGCATAGATCGACTAAATAATGTAAAAATATTGCAATTTAATGTTAAAAAAAATTACAGTTGTATTGATATCAAATTTCAATTCAATTTCAATATTTTCGTTGCACTTTGCTACTTGGGTTATGAACCACACAATCGGTTTTTCGATTTTTTTTTTAAAATTTTCTTATTGTTAAGGGATGATTTTTCCCCCTTTTTTTAAAACCTTTCAGAATAAGTTTTTGGACATATTATGTGGTCTTGGTGGACCCTAAGAATTTAAGAAAGGTTTTTGCCTATCTCATAGTTAGTTTTACCAACCTTCTTGGAGGAGTGAAAGGGAATGTTTTTGATTAATAAGATGTAACACGTCAATTTCCTCGACCGGATTTTTTACCCGAAAATATTTTTAAGGGTTTTTGGTAGTTGTAGGATTGACTCATCAGCGTGATCGCTGGATGCACCTGTCTTATCAGCCACCTCAAAGTTGGGAGTGGATGTTGGTCATTTCTCGTCCGCAGACAAAATCGCCGCACGGCGCAAACACGTCTCCGTGAAATTGACGCTGTGTGAAAATTAATTGATATTTTTTTAAAAACTAAATAGGAGTGTACTCGTGAGAGTATAAGCTTTCATACGAGCCTATGTTTAGCTCTTTTGGACCATTTTTCAGCCCAGGGCGGCACCAGTCCAGGAACTTTTTGACCATACCTCGTATTCTCAGAGCTGCCATTTCGGCATCCCGTTTGTCCGTACCTGTAGTAGAGGGTACCCTGACAAAGACACCGGCAACTTGGCAAGCTAGCCGGCACCACATGGAATCCGGGTTGCCTATCGTCTCATTAAAAGATCGTAGCGCGCGGTCTAGATTGTATTATAAGTCAAAGATGAGGACTAGTCCTGCTCCCACTAAGATTTCCGGCCAGACTAGGCTAGTTAGACAGTTTCTCTCGCTGGTATTCAGAGCAGAGGCATTTGGTAAACATACTACCCTAAAAACCTTGGTTGTCGGGGCATTCAGGATCATGACGAGCACTAGTGGCGCATGATGTTCCCTGGGCGGATTTCCGCCGGGAAAATTTTTTTTTTCTGTTTTTTTTTTTTGTTTTGGGGGGGGGGGGGGGGTTAAAAAGCTCAAATTCCTATATTCCGTCCCAACTCGATAAAAACAATGCCCCTGAAAAAGCTGCATCAATGCACTAATATCTTTTTTTAAAAATAAACGATCTGATTAAAAATTAAAGGATGTCATTTAATAATACTTATGCAATGTGATTTTTTAATTTTACGTCTCATGTGGTTCTAGTTGCCTTCGAACCAAACGCAACAATGCACACAGCGCATCACATCCTTCTTTACGGTTGCAAAGAACCGAGTACAACTCTAAGTGTTTGGTGAGTTTTGTCTCATTTTTCGATGTTTTAATTCTGTTTTGATTTTCGGTAGTTATTCCAGATCTTTGACATGTCCCTGTACCACCTCTATCCATTATTTGGATGCCTACGTTTTACTGGGAATATTCATCTTGCATTGTACTTATTGTACTAATTTGTGTTGTGTCATGTGATATGATTTTAATTCCTGAACTGATCTTAGTCTGGTAAATGGTTCGAAGTAACTTTCTACGGTTGTGGTTTCTATTGCTGAAATTGTAATTGCCCATTACTGTAATATAGTCGTTCCAGTTTAATAGTATAATGATTCTTACTTGAAGTTAAAATGCATGCTATTACCAGTCGAGACTAAAATTTCTGCAAGCTTCAATTTCAATTAAAATATTCATCTTATTTATTTTGTCAAACATGTTGCAATTAATAATAGCGATTGAAAACAAGAGAAAATTTAGTGTGGAAAATGGAAGCATTTAAATGTATGTAGTCGCTGCCGCATGCATGTCTGTTCTAGTGCCTAGGTTCGGTCAATGATTTAGTGTTGACTTCTCAATGGATGCTTGTTTTGCAATCTCGACAAATTTTAAGCAACGTTTTATTATAAAAATATTGAGACAACTTTCGATTTCTTGTATATAATTACAATATTTTTACGTCATTTGGTCTACGAATGCTAATTTTAAATGAAGGATAAGCAATTCGCAATGCAAGAAAAAATTGCAACTTATTTTAACGAACCGCTAGAATAGGCACGAATTCAAGCATTCCAATGTAGTCTCCTTGTTTAAAGTTCACCGAGAACACGATTCGCGACACGGAAATATCTGAAATTAAGTCCCAACCAAGACATCAACGTTTTTACCCAGCACTGCACGGTGAGCCAGATCGTGTCCATAGCGGCGCTTAATTGATAACTCCCGCTAGATCAGACATATCGTTCAAAACATAATGATGCCTAGGGTAATTTGATCTGCTCTTTCCAAATTTTGTGTCAAAAAAGCCGGCAAAAACGTCTAAATGTAGGTTTCGGACGTTGAAAGCCGAAGAAATTGCTCGATAAAAAAGAGGATCTTATGCTTCCTATAAAATGGGGGAAAACACAATTATCGAACAGAAAAATGTAATCTTATCATCTTACCTTGTAATTTTATTGAAAGGAGAATATTGTCCCTTTTGCAGATCCCAAAAATATTGATTTTTAGCAGCAGGGCATGAGATCAAAGTTGCCCGAAATATAAGCCTTAAAAAATAAATTTTTCAGAATATTGTAGACTGGGAAAGTGTCATTACGGTTCGTTGCACAACTCCAGGTTTTTGAGATGAACTCCAATTTCCGCGAAAATCAGATGTAGAGGTTTAAAGGAACCACTGCACACAGTAAAGCGGTCAATGAAATATTTCAATACAAATTCATGTGTAAAGGATTTTAAAGGTTTCTAATAGCATTTCTCGCTCTTTCGATACTTTAGGGTCGAAGGAGGGAGAGGGGGAGGCCGACCAAAATCAGACAGTCAAAAATTCGTCATGGTCAACAACTTTCTTGAGCCCAGTAAATAATGATGATTTTTTTACATCCGTTCACGGATGCAGCCCAAATAGGACTGGTTTTAAACCAATTTGGCGATGAATATGAAAATTCTACCATCACATGGCACCTAAGTTTAGAGTAAATTGACCGTTGCTGACACAAATATAACTGATGGAATGTCAATTTCACTGTTGGACTTTCAGTAATGTAATATCGTATGATTGAAGTCATTCTGATAACTAAATATTGACTTCTTTAAATGCAACTTTGCCTAATTTAGTGTTACACCCCTTTTGAAACTTATTGTTATTGTATAAATAATGCGTTATTTTCGGGCAGTAACGGTATCCTGACACGGTTCGTCTCAGAGGGAGGTAAATGAAACTGTGTTGCCCTCTCAAAATTCTTTCGGGATCTTGAAGTCGGATTTTTTTTTTATATTCATTTATTTGTACAGAAAACCATTCTGTACAACAGATATACTCAGAAACATTTTGAAATGTCTTTGTAAGCTTGTTTTAACTGTAAGTATGTAACTTAACAATATTACATTTTAACTTAACTAGGTTAGATAACTTATACATTTTAACGTAACTAATGTCAGATAACTAACTACACCCTTTAAATAACAAGGAGATAACAAGTACATAATTATTTTCAGAATAAAAATGTCTTTATGATTAATATTGTTTTTCGTCTTTTGCTATATTGAGAAGACTATGATCGACCGTCACCTGTCTAAGATCAAGGAACCCCTGATCCGTCCGAAGTTGCGGGGAGGCACACTTGTTTTATGGGTAGAGTTTTGAAAAGCCCTGAATTCCAAGCTCATAGGACTTATGTCTTTTCAACCTGCGACTGCACTGGTCCCATTTCAAGAGCGCAAGCGCTTCTTAGTTGGGGTGTCGATGCAATCTCAATTCACACGCAGAGTACATCTTGGTGATGTAATCCTCTACAGAGTCAATTTTGAGGTCAGCGCGAATATTTGCGTTCCTCTCATACCAACGAGCTTTAACAATATTTCTGAAAATCTTCATTTACATGATTTCAATCTTATCCAAATTTGACTTGGCTGCAGAACCCCACGATTGGCAACCCTAACTCCAAACCGGCCTCAACATTGACTCGTAGAGAAGCAGCTTTAGTTGAAGGGAAAGCCGAGATTTGCGACCCAAGAGTCACTGCATATTGGAGAATTTTAGTTGCAGTTGAGCGACTTTTTCTGAATGTGAGTACCCCACCTGAGCCTGGAATCCAAATGGAGGCCGAGATATTTAGCGATTTTATCGTTAGGAATTTCAGTTTCTCCTAAACGAAGAGGAATGTGATTAAACGGTCTATTAGTGAAAACTACTTCAACTGATTTTGACGCGTTTAGTTAGGTTTTATCATTTTTTGTCCATTTATTATTTTATTTAAGTGAATTTGTGCATTTTGTCGTGCCTTTCTGTAACTTCTGGACGAAGATAACATGAGAGAATCGTCAGCGTAAATGCCCAACTTTCCCCCCCTCCCAGACTGTGGGATGTCTGTTAGTAAAGAGAGAGAGTAGAGAAGGGGAGAAAAACAGGAACCCTGTGGAACTCCCGCCTCTATCCGTCTGAATTTTGAGACTGAATTTTCATAGCGAACTCTGAACTGTCTCCCTGACAGAAAAGAGGATAGGAGCTCCACATTATTGCAAGGGAGCATTTTATATAGCTTTTCGACGAGACTCTCATGCCAAACACGATCGAAGGCCTGCGCTACATCAAGAAAAACCGCTACACAGTATATCCCTTTTTCAAGGGAATCTTCTATGAATTTTGTGACCCTATGAAGCTGGTCAACAGTTGAGTGTTGCGCTCTGAAGCCGAATTGAGCGTCTATAATTAAATTTTTGTTTTTAACAATTTCATTCAGTCTTTTGATGTAAAGCCTTTCGAAAAGTTTGCCAATAACAGGGAGCAGAGAGATTGGCCTGTTGGAGGCTGCTTCAGTTGGAGGTTTTTCGGGCTTTAGTAATACAAAAATTTCAGCGATCTCCCATTGAGCAGGAATGTATTTGCAACGTAAAACTGCGTTAAAAATTGTGACCAGCTTCATAAGGGCCTTTTTAGGGAAATTTTTTAAGATTAGTCCAGAAATCTTGTCGAAACCTTTTTTAACCTTAATTTTCCCCTTGATCTCTTTCAATAGGTAGTTCAGACAGGGAGATGGTTTTAATTTTGGCTGGAGGGATTTTCTTGATTTTTTTACGGGGTTTTAATGTCAATATCTCCCCCTGTGCTTGTGGATCCGAGACTGAGCTGTCAGTGGTTACCTCTTCTTCTTCAGAAGTGGAGTCTGGCGTTATGTCACTATGAGGTTTGAAAGTAGCTTCAAGGTGGTCTGCTAAAACTTCTGCTTTTTTAGAGTCAGAATTTGCCCAAGTGCCATCAACTTTTCTAATGGGGAATTTTAATAGTTTTGGTCTTTATAAGTACTTTGTAGTTGTCCAAAGTTAATGGTTTTTGTCTGTTGTTGGCGGAAGGGATTCTATAAAATTTTGAAACTTTATATTGAGAAATTCTTGAGTTCGCTTTTTGACAATCTTATTTAAGCAATTATAGTGATTTTTGTCATCTGGAGCTCCAGTATTAACTGCTCTCCCATGGGTTTTTCTTTTTTTCCTGATTAGATTTAAGAGTTCCTTAGGATTGGTGTATAGGCGGGAGTTGTTTACTGCAGTTGGAGTATTAGCAGCTGCACATTTTTTAATTTGTTCCACTGACAGTTCAGTTTCTCTATCTATTTCCACTGGAGAGGTGACTGGAACGCTGATATCTACTAATTTTACTAGATCTTCTTTGAATTTGTCCCAATTTGTTCTTTTAGAATAAATTGCGGGAGGCTGGTTAACTTAAAGAGGGTAAGTGATGGATAAAATAACTTTTGCCTGGCCATTCAAAGGGGGGGGGGGGCAAAATGTCACAAGAGGTTTTATCTATTAAGTTAAGGTTTTTGTAAATGAAGAAGTCAATGATGTTTGACTATGGTTTGGATCGTAGGGATAGTTCGTCGGTTTCCCGGGGGAAATGAAGTAACTATCCAACAAATTTGCTGCTTCCAAGAGGGACTGTCCTTTTGGATTTGTTAATCTAGATCCTCATACAGGGTCTTTAGTATTCCAGTCCCCTGCTACCAAAAATGTGGGACCTAGTTCACCAAGAAATTCAGAGTAATCCTCTGTGAAAAGAACACTTCGAGGTGGAGTATAAATTGACGTTAACTTAAACTCGCCAATTTCAGTTTCAATTCTTATAACTGCGCTTTGGAAAGCAGCAGTTTCGATGATTTTAATCAAGTTATGCTTGATATTTTCTTTGATTAACACCGAAGAACCTCCTCGGCGTTAATTTTCAGGATGTAATGCTTTGTACATTTTATAACCAACGAAATACCTCTTAAAATCGTTCTTTGTGAACCAGGTCTCCGACAGGAGGGCTACATT